GGCAGGAGTTTCTGGGGGTAATTCAACAGGCACAGCAGAAATTCATCCCAAGGTAAAAGAAACATAATAATGGGAGGACAAGAGAACCATGGCTGACTAGGGGAGCCAGGAGCAGCAAATATGCAAAAGAAAAAGCATATAATGTGCTGAAGATTAGTTGGAACCCAGAGAATTGGGAAGCTTTTAAACTATCAGAGGAGAACTAAAAATGCAACAAGGGGGAGAAGATGAAATATGAGGGTAAGCTAGCTAGTAATAGAAGACAAGATAGAGGAGTTTTATTTTTAGATAGCTGAAAGGTAAGAGGGAGGCAAGAAGGGACATTGGAACACTGAAAAATAAGGATGGAGAAGTAGTAATGGAGAACAAAGAAATGGAACTGAATAAGTACTTTGAATTAGTTTTCACAGTAGAACCCACCAGCTGTATACCAGAACTCAAGAGAGCCAGGGAGCAGAGGTGAGTGTAGGGTCCATCACTGAGGAGAAGGTCCTAGGAAACTGAAAAGTCTGAAGGTGGCTGAATCACCTGGGCCAGATGGACTACACCCAGAGTTCTGAAGGAGATACCAAGGAGATCATGGAGACATTAGTGGTGATTGTTCAGGAATCACTGGAGTCAGGGAGGCCCCAGACGACTGGAAAATGGCTAATGCGACACTCCTGTTTAAGGAGAGAGGAAGGCAGAAGACAGGAAACTGTACGCTGGTTAGCCTGACCTCAGTCGTTGGTAAGATTTGACATTACATTATTATAATGGAGGTGTACTTGGAAGTGCATGGTAAAATAGAGCTTAGTCAGCATGGCTTCATCAACAAGAGGTTACTGAGTGCATTTAAGACAGTTACGTTATTGCTTAATAAAGGGATCAAGTGTTACAGGAGAAGGCAGGAGAATGGGGTTAAGAAACATATCAGACATAATCAAATGGTGGAGCAGATTTGATGGGCTGAATGGTCTAATTCTGCCCCACATTTTATGATCTTATGGTCATTTCAAGTTTCCTGAACTCTATGGCCCTTTCCATTACCCTCAGTTGTTCTTTCTCCTCCCTTTCATTGTTTCTCTGTTTTTCACTTTCCTCAATTTCCACTATCCTCTGTTTTCTCCTAACTCAAACATTTTTGTTTTCATTTCTAAGTGTATCTCAACTAATTTTGGCTAGGACATCCCAATTTTATTTTCTTTTCCTTAAATTCTAAATGTGGGATAATAACTTAAAGCATCTCATCCTAACAAGATCTTGCTTTTATTTCTACCTTCAATTTATCTGCTGTATCTCTCAGTTTTGCTATCATCAAAGATTTCAAATAATCCACTGTTATAGTTTGATTTCCAGCGAACTCTAACCAAAGCTTAAAACTGTCTTCAAACTTTATGCAGTAAACCTCACCATAACACAGTTGTTATGTTCAGTTATGTTCAGAGCCACAACTTATCCATCATCTCAAAAAGAAATACACAAACTCCTTTTAACTCCAGTACATTCAAATCCCAGCTGAGCCCCCAATTGTTAAGATTCCAGCTGATGTTATTACTGGACAAATCAGATCCCCAATTGTATTTTGGTTTGATACACAATTTTTTTCCATTTAGCAAAGTGATCTCTCACTGCAACATAAGCACACACTTCTGTGTGTGATATGAGTTTAACTATGAAACATAAGTTTATTATGCAAAAGAAAAGATAAAATAGCGTAAACCAAGCTATTTTCATGTAAACTAACTTGAAAGATTAAAAATAAGCAGTAAAATACAATATTTCATCTATGTCAACAGCAAATCTTTATAACACAAATAAATACCAGAGAAAGTTCACTTCTCTATTACATCTATCGATTTAACTTAACTGTTTCTTGTAATTCCTGGCCTTGAAAGTTTGATAGCCTCCTCCTTAAACTTAGAATTTCTCAGCTTCTAATACACCCTTCAGAGTTCTATCAATACGCTTCTTGTATGGAGCTTTTAAACTGAAACACTTGCACTGAGGTAATATATTTCCTAACTTTTCCGAACGAACTCATTTTTCTCAGAGAAACTGTTTACTACATCCAACAACCAGGACATTGGCAAATTGAAACCAAAAGCTATGGATGCTTCCCCAGGCAAAAAAAAATTACTGATCCCTCTAACTGAAAGAAGGTTATTACTCTACAATGCTTATTCTGTCCACACCCAAACGGGGAGGCAACTGCTGGATAGTTTATTCAGAGACCCTGATAACGTTCTGAGGACCCGGGTTTGAATCCCACCACACCAGAGGGTGGAATTTGAATTCAATAAAATTATCTGGAATCTAACGATTTGACCATGAATCCCATTCTTGACTGTTGGAAAAACCCCATCTGGTTCACTAATACAGTTTAGGGAAGGAAACTGCCATCCTTGCCTGGTCTGGCCAACATGTGACTCTAGACCCAGAGCAATGTGGCTGACTTTGAATTGCCCTCTGGGCAATTAGGGATGGGCAATAAATGCTGCTTAGCCAGTGATGCCCTCATCCCGCTAATGAATAAAGAACATAAAATTCTCTCAATGCAAACAAATTTGCACCCATAGGAACTGTTTCGCTCATACAGATTTTTATAAAACATTGGCTGCAAAAGTACTGACAAGTTAATCATTAAAGTCTCTCATATACAGAGACCAAAACACATACGCCACTAGTTCAAAATCCAAACCCCACAAAAATCAAAATATATATTAATCACATACCTTGCAAAATAGTGACCTGCCCAATGCCAAATCCCTTGCTGCTAAACTGTGTAATGTTACCAGAAAATGGAGGGGCATCAGGATCCTGCCAGCTTGAGTATATTGAAGTCCTTAAGTGACCAATTAACTCCACAGGAAAAAAAATCAGTTAAAAATCAATAATACTTGGAAATGGACATTATTAGTGATATTAGAGTCATAGTGTCCTACAGCACAGAGACAGGCCCTTTGCCCCAAACTGGTCCATGTTGACCAAAATGTCCATCCACTCTAACCCCATTTTCCTGCACTTGGCCCACATTCTTCTAAACCTTTCCTGTCCGTGTATTCGTCCAAATGCCTTTTAATTGTTGTTAATGTATCCACCTAAATCATTTCTGCTGGCAGCTCATTTCATATGCATACCATCCTCTATGTAAAAAAGTTGCCCCGCAGGTTCCCATGGTTTCTTTCCCCTCTTACCTTAAACTGATGCCCTCTAGTCCTCAATTCCCCAACCCTGGGAAAAAGACTGAGTGCATTCATCCTATCCATGTCTCTTATGATTGTATTCACTTCTATAAGATCCCCCCTCAGTCTATTACGCTCGAAAGAAAGAAGTCCTAGCTTGTCCAACCTCTCCCTATAACTCAGTCCCTTGAGTCCTGGCCACATCCTTGTCAATCTCCTCTGCACTCTTTCCAGTTAAATAACATTATTCCTATAGCAAGATGACCAAAACTGAACACAATACTCCAAATGCAGCCTCACCAATGTCCTGTACAACTGAAACATAACTTCCCAACTTCTAGACTCAGTGCCCTGACTGATGAAAGCCAGTGTGTCAAAACCCTTCTTCACTGCCCTACCTGTGACTCCAGTTTAAGAGAACTGTGCACCTGAACTCTAAGGTCCCTCTGTTTCACTACACTCCTTAAGGCCCTACCATTCACCATGAAACTCCAACCTTGATTTGACTTTCCAAAATGCAACACCTCACACTTAGCTATATTAAACTCCATTTACTATTTCTCGCCCTACTTCCCCAGCTGATCAAGATTCTGCTGCAATTTCTGATAACCTTCCACACTGTACACAATACTGCCCGTTTTAGTGTCATCTGCAAACTTACCAATCATGCCTTGTACATTCTCATCCAAATCATTGATATAGATAACAAACAAATACTATACCTCTGTTTTGAAGTACATATGATGAGTCAGAACAACATGTGTTATTCTCATGATTTACTGGTTTTTTCTGGCTGACTACATTAGGGCCTTATCCTGCTTGCTATTATTTCACCCATGTCAGTGGAGGCCCACATCATATGGGCTTCCAGAAGGAAAAGAACAATAATACTTCCAAAAAATAGAAATCAAACTGAACCATCTTGCATACTTCAGATTGGAGCTCCAAAACAATCAATATGTTCATTTCCAAGTATTACTGGTTTGCTATTCATTTTTATCTTTGAGAAACCTAGCATGTTTTGCTGTGTATGCTAATGTCAGGTGTAGAAAGTACTACGTTTGGACAGACCATGTGCTAAGTGGAGGCATAACCCCATGTACGGGAAAACAACAGTAAAACTTGTGAATAGGAAATCTGCTCCATACAGCTTGATGTCTGAACCCAGGTGACATCGTGGCTGACAACCGTCTGACAAGGACTTCCTTTCTCTGAGTGCGAAGATCCCACCTCCAAGTTAGTTACAGTTAAATCTTCTCCCAGGCATACTCACCACCATTTTTTTAGTGGCAGGGTAGGGAAATAACAATTCCCCAATAGATCCACAGTACATGGGTTAAAACATAGAAAAACATAGAACATTACAGCGCAGTACAGGCCCTTCAGCCCTCGATGTTGCGCCAACCTGTGAAACCAATCTGAAGCCCATCTAACCTAAACTATTCCATTATCATCCATATGTTTATCCAATGACCATTTAAATGCCCTTAAAGTTGGCGAGTCTACTACTTTTGCAGGCAGGGCATTCCACGCCCTTACTACTCTCTGAGTAAAGAACCTACCTCTGACATCTGTCCTATATCTACCACCCCTCAATTTAAAGCTATGTCCCCTCGTGCTAGCCACGTATATAGTCAACACATAACCCTTGCCTAAAGTCAAGATTTTCAACCTGGAGACTTCTTGTTGGCTCAAAATTCTACCTTCAAACTGGAAGCAACACTGTAAGGAGACCAGAATTCCATCCTCCATTGCTAACATTTTTTGTCAATATAAAATCTGACTGATAGCATTGAAATATTTCAGATAAAAGGACTTCTTTAAATAAGTAATTACCGGATCAGAATTGTAGAGTGGCTGACAAACTTTCTCCAGTGCCTGCAGGAACTTCACATTGTCCTTTGCTTCATTAGCTGCATCAGTGATTTGAGAATCCAACTCTAGCCACATCTAGAGAAAAAAAGGTAAGACATTTCAAACTTCTTCATTCATTGTTGATACATCTTAAACTAACTTTTAGAGTCAACCAAAACTAGCTCTGTAGTCTCAAAAGTATAATGACCTGATTTCCATCTTGCTGCCAATTTTGTTTAAACACTCTGCCAACAGCATTAGCAACCCATATCACATACAATTTTGCAGTGGTCCATTAGAGGTGCAATCCACCTGGTTTGCACTTAGAAACTCAGAACCATAGAAATGTTACAGCCCTGGAAGAAGTCATTCAGACCATTGCATTTGCACAAGCTGTATAAACTCACCACCCACTTTGATTCACTTTCCAGCACCTACTTAGTAACCTTGCAGGCTACAGCACATCAAGTGCATATAAGATCTAAACAAGTTAAGGATTTCCATTTTAACTGCTAATATGGGCAGCAAATTCCAGATGCCCACCAATATCCATCTGGCCAAAATCTTTTCCTCATGTCCAATGTAATTCTTCTCCCAATCACTTTCAATCTAAGCCCTCTGGTAATTGACATTACTACACAGGGAGATGGATCTTCCCTATTGACTCTAACTAAGCCCTTCATAATTTTGTACACCACAATTAAGTCAACCTCATTCTCATTTGCTCTGAGGAAAACAAACCTAACCCACTGAATATTTACTCATAGATATATTTTATAAGCCCCAGTAACATTCCTAAAATATGTTGTGTACCCATTCTAAAGCAATCATGTCATTCCTCTAATATGGTGAGCAGGAATGTTCACGAAATTCCAGCTGTGGCATAGCCAGTGTCTTACATAGTTCCAGCATAACCTCCTTACATTTATGTTCAATACCTTGCCAAATAAAGGAAAGTATCTCATATATCTTCTTATCTTATACCTTGTCTTCTTTTCTGGCCACCTTCAAGGGCCTGTGGGCATGCACTCTAAGGTCTCTCCATTAAGGTCATAAGATGTAGGTGCCATTCAACCCATTGCATCTGCTCCTTCCATTCAATGAAATCATGGCTGATCCGCTAATCCTCAACTCCACTTTCCTGCCTTTTCCCTATTATCCTTGATTCTTTTACTGATTAAAAATCTGTCTACCTCAGCCTTGAATATGCTTATCACCTCATCTCTACAGCTCTCTGCAAGAGAACATGTTATTCTATGCTGGATACTGTGCAATGAGAAAGGAGTCATTAAAAATTTTGTTGTTCCAGGTTCCTTGAGGAAGAGTGACTACAATATGATTGGGTGCTTCATTAGGATGTACAACAAAGTAGTTGAATGAAAAATTAGGGTCCTGGATCTAAATAGAAGAAACTGTGAAAGTATGACAATTGGCAAGAATGAAGTAGAGAATCTTATTAGAGGGGTTGACGGTGGATAGGCAATGGTTTGTTTTTAAAGAACATGCGAATGAACAACAACAATTATTCATTTTAATCTGGTACAAAAATAAAAGAGGAAAGGTAGCTCAACCACTGCTTACAAAAGACATCATGGATATTATTAGATCAAAGAGAGACATATAATATAGCCAGAAAAAAAACAGCAAGCCTGAGGATTGGCAGCATTTTATTGTTATTAATGTTGTTTGTATTGTTATTCACACACACATTCTTTAAATATAATCCATTGTATATCCACCGTGAACAGCCGTAGTAGGGTTCTCCAAAACATCTTTTCTAATTTTCATACAAACTGACCATAAAATCTTCTATAAATTTGTGGTAAGAGAAAGGATTAGTAAAGATAAATGTAGAACCCTTACAGTCAGAAGCCGAGGAAATTATAATAGGGAACAAAGAAATGGCAGAAGAACTGAACACATATTTTGCTTCTGTCTTCTCAAAAAGGGCATAAATACATTTCCACAAATGTCAGGAAACCCAGAGCTTAGTGAAAGGACTGAACTGAAAGAAATCAGTATTCATAAGAAAATGGTGCTGGGAAAATTAATGGTTGAAAGGCTGACAAATCATCTGATAATCTCTATCGCAAAGTACTCAAGAAAGGGACCCTGTGAATATTGGGTGCATTGTTGTCATCTTCCAAAAGTCGATGGACTCTGGAGCAGATCCTACAGATTGGAAGGTGGCAAATGTAATTCCACTATTTGAAATGAAAGGGAGAGAAAAAAAAACAGAATTACAGTCAAATTAGCTGAGTGAGGAAAATGCTAGAGTCTATTATTAAAGATTGAGATGACAGATCATTTGAAAAGCAGAGATAGTAGGAACTACTGATGCTGGAGAATCTGAGATAACACAGTGTAGAGCTGGATGAACACAGCAGGCCAAGCAGCATCAGAGGAGCAGGAAAGCTGACGTTTCGGGTCGAGACCCTTCTTCAGAAATGGGGGAGGGGAAGGGGATTCTGAAATAAATAGGGAGAGAGGGGAAGGCGGATAGAAGATGGATAAAGGAGAAGATAGGTGGAGACTAAGTCCCTTCCCCTTCAGAATCCCCTTCCCCTCCCCCATTTCTGAAGAAGGGTCTCGACCCGAAACGTCAGGTTTCCTGTTCCTCTGATGCTGCTTGGCCTGCTGTGTTCATCCAGCTCTACCCCGTGTTATCTTATAGTTGAAAAGCAGAATAGGTTGGACAAAGCCAGCATGGTTTTATGATAGGCAGATCATGCTCCAGAAATCTGCTGGATTTTTGAGCATATACCTTTTTGAGACAATGGATTTTCAGAAGGCATGAGGGGCCTTTCAGAGGACTGAAATGAGGAAACATTTATTTATTCAAAGTGTAGTGAATCTGTGGAATCCTCTACAACAAGGCTGTAGAGGCCAAATCACAGAGTATATTCAGTAAAGAGATAGATAAATTTTTAGATGTTCAAGGGATATGGCATTCAGAGAGAGGATCAGGCATCATTATATTGAATGATAGAGCAGACTCAAAATACCAAATGGCCTACTTCTGCTCTTAGTGGCTGAGGCAGCTTTGAGAAAGGGTGAGGCACTGCTAATGGTGCTGCCCCTCAATCTCACTTCATTCTCCAGTTCATTCAATGCTCTAACAAAAAACCTTTTCTCTTCCTTTCAGGCATTAAAAAAACACAAGCTACAACAGCTCAGAGAAACCAAGGCCCCTGTGGAACCTTTCTCTCTTTTCCATTCGTCTGTCTCCATCCCTTCTCCTAACCCTACCTCTTGTCATGTATATTTACAATCCCTCGATGTTCCACTCTCTCATGCTAAACGCTCTTACTCAGCAAAAGTCTTAGTTTAATCCATAATTAGATGAAATTCTCAATGAATTTCGGGGACATCATGATGTTGTAGTCTTCTTCCATCACCTCCACACCCATTTCTTTGGACAAGAATTCTATCCTGTCCCACAGATTCCTCATATACCTCTAACACTGTCCCTCCACCCGGACCCCACTCTCTGGCTTTTTACCTGCGCTCGAATTGTTCACCAAGAACTGTCAACATGACATTGGATGCCTTTATTTCTCTGCCACCCCTCACCCATTCAAAACTATCTCCCTCTGAACTGACTGCACTCTGTTCTCAGATTAACACTGACTTTGCCACCATGCCTGCCAACAAAATCAGGAACAAAAATAGAAATTGCTGGAAAAGTTCAGCAGGTCTGGCAGCCTCTGTGAAGAAAAAAATCAGAGTTAACGTTCTGAGTCCAGTGACCCTTCCTCTGAACTGTCAACAAGACGATGTTGATGGCTGGCATACCGACTGTACAACTCTGACAAGGTCAGTTGCCCGGATCTCATAGAACATGAGTTCCCTGATTGGGGCTGATAATTTGGTCCAATCAGGGAGCCCTGGCTGACATATAAATAGGGGAGTGTCTGAGATGCTGACACTCCTGTAGTTGACTGAATGAAGCAGTACTACAGTCAAAGACTGTTTATGGATAATAAAGGGTGACTTGGTAACAGATACTGGCCTCTGTGCAGTTATTTCAGTGGCAACAGGAGTAAAGCATGATCCTGAAGAAAATTCACTGCACAATCTATTTTGAGTTGAGTAAACATTTCTTACATCGTGACTTTGGTTGGGAAGCTTCACTCGTTCGACCCTGCTGTCAAAGACTGGGTCCAGTATATGTTAATATGTTAATTTTTCTGGGCAAACAACATTGTGGCAGACAAAATGCAATTAGTAATTCTCCTGACAGGCTGTAGAGTTTCAGCTTTTTTCTGTAAATAGGAGCCTAACTTTCCCTGAGGCTACAGATACTAAAACCTTTCAAGAACTGACGAATATAGTTAAGGAATATTGTGACTAAAGCCTCTTCTAATTCTGAGATGCTTTCATTATTATTCAGCAATTTGAGAACCAGGGAAAACCATTACAGGAATTTTGACTAGGTTAAGACAATGGACAGCAGCCTGTTACTTTGGTTTTACCATTAATGAGATGCTGAGGCCATCAGGTATGTGAAATCAATGATGCAACTGTAAAAATGCCAACTAGCTGACGTCCAATTGGACTTCAAACAGGTGCTTCAAACAGAAGAATGAAGGGGCATCTCAAAGAAACATATAAGATCCTGATGGGACTGAACAGACTAGATGTGAAAGAACGTTCCCGATGTTGGGGAAGTCCAGAACTAGGGGTACAGTCTAAGAATAAGGGGTAAGCCATTCAGGACTAAGATGTGGAAGAATTTCTTCACTCAGAGAGTTGCGAACCTGTGGAATTCTCTAGCTCGTTAGATATAATCAAGAGGAAGCTGGATGTGGCCCTTGCAGCTAAAGGAATCAAGGGATTATGAGAGAAAGTGGGAGTGGGATACTGAAATTGCATGATTAGTCATGATCATATTGAATGGTGATGCAGGCTTGAAGGTCCAAGTGGCCTACTCCTGCATCTATTATCTATGTTCTATGTTTCTATGTGCTACAATTGGTTTTATCATTGGAAAATGCGGCAAGTGGACCATATGAGTTGCAAGGTATTCCTACAGAACTTCATCAGTCCGACTGAGCTTGGGGAACATTACTTGAGTGCGGGGTAATTGCACAGCC